TTAAACTACTAATTTCTAACCACTTTAATGTCAACACAAACACAATAAACAAAGGTATGAGAACATCAAATAAACAACTTCTTATAGAGATTCATATGTATATACTAATTAGTTACACAGAAATTAATAAGTTACATTTTGTTGTAAGGATTGTCCGAATGAATACTGGAGAAAATCGTGACGTAATACAAGCATGCCAAGACACGTCACTGCTGACAACAACGTTGATTTATATAGTAACAAAGTTTATGATAATAACATGACGAACGAAATATAGCCTATGCGATACATTAGAATATCCACAAAACATTTTTCTCCAACTATGACACTTATGGAGCCGCTTGTGGTGAAGTATCAAACAGACTCAATGCGACACACAGAGCGCGACGTGACGAAACTGAATGAAACAAATCAAGCTGCTCCATTGAATCAGACAGAACTATATTTTATAGCCTATAGCCTAATAAACAATGCCCATCTATTAACCTACAAGCTAAACGTATTTTGTTATACTCCTAAACATCTGCAACCCAAGAAAGGATGTTTAGTCTCTCTCTGGTCTGTTTCTTAAATTAAACTGCGAGGGTTTTGTGCTCACCTGAATTATTAATATCTTCAAGAGCGCCTGCGTTCTCCACTGGACTGCAACCTTTTCCAGCCTTTCAGTTGTATTCACATCACATCTCAAATAAATTACTTTAAAGAATCTCATTGTGTTTTAAATGCATTTCTGAAACAACTCCAGAAAAGTACAGCTCGATCTGTTGTACGTTATATGAGGTGTGTTTACCTTGGCCCTCAACGCTATCTGTGATTTTCATCTCCTGGTCCCGGTCCATGTTGAAAGGATCGCCCTGGCTCCCACTTTTGGGTAGGTTCGGATCCTGGGCAGCGGCGCATTGTCCGTTTCGCACAACCGACGGGTCCACAATAGTCGGATTGGGAACAGGGCATGGATCAGAAGTCGTACTGTCTGTCATGTTTGTTTGCTTGCTTTCTCTAATCAGATGAAGCCCTCAATATATGATCTCACGTCGAAGTGCGACGCGCAGCCATCCAGTGGCAGCATTAAAGGTAGCGGAGCAGAGATGCGGAGATAAACGCAATCTGCCCAGCATCAGCAACGGACCCACACCCTCCCACCGAGAACAACTCCAATCCGAGCGCAAGAACTGCAGCCACCCAACTGTAATTTGACGTGGATGTTGTATCGCTGTCTGGTTTCAACATATCTTGACTTTTGCACATCATCTGATCGAGGCGATAAAGCACAGTTGTATAGCCGAACTGTGACTTGAGAAACGATCTTGTCAGGTGCCATTGATAGGCTACCTGCCACAAATAGCCTAGCTGTCTCCAACCTTCAGTCAGATAATGATAAACTTTATAATATTGTGATTTTTTTTGCTTCCAAATACGTTTTATTCTATTTATTCAAGTCTTAAATAGGCTAGCAGCAATATCACCCCATATGTTTTAAATACAAAGTGTGATTCAATCTGATATCTATGACACAATTGTGATATTGATATACATAAGTAGCTTCACAAGTTTATATTTTTAGTAATGTTTCAGGGGGAAAATCCAGGTAAGGTGCGTTCACCGTTGTTCCACATTTTCTTCGCCCGCAATGGGTTCGAGATGGTCAGACCAGTTGACCAACAGAAAGCTGCTTGGTTTGAAAGTGAATTCTGTGTGTGAAGGGTCATACAGTGGACCTTTTTTGCCCGAAATTGTGGAGGAAAAGTGGCCGCGCATATTGTCTATATTCATTCACAGCGAACGAAATACCTCCTAAAGAATCCAACGCGCCAAACTTTGCATGTAACCAAGCAACGGACAGCATTTAAAGGGATAGTTCACCCAAAAATTAAAATTTGATGTTTATCTGCTTACCCCCAGGGCATCCCGCCTGAAGTTATGGTTGATTGCTCTTCGGCTGGATATCAACACACTGTGACGAGTCGGCTGCCTCCCCCTAATTATCAGCATCACCCTGTCCCTTAATCCCCGCCCTTCGCCAGGCTCCCGACATGAATGGGTGCATGAGAGAGGAGGGGCGCTGAAATAGCCAGGGCTGGCGGCGTGTGATGGGGCACACCTGAACCGAATGGGGCCTCATCACCGCCGCTGTTTAAATGCCGAGTGCGCCTCTCCTCGAGAGACTGGTCTCTTCCCCGTGCATGCACGCTGGTGTCCTCGTGGGTCCAGGAAGGGTGCATAGAGGGACTCCCGTGCCGCCAGAGCCGTGAGCTACCGGACCCGCGGTCCGGACGAGAACCGCACCCGTTACACGGCTGTCGGGCCAGGAGGCCAGGCCGTCTAGTCCCTTCAAGCACCGTGGGCCAAGGCGAGAAGGATGCAGCCGCTTGAAGAAGCCGCCGCACGGCCGTCGGGCAAGGATGCTGGGCCGTCTAGTCCCTTCAAGCGCCGTGGGCAGAGAGAAGAACTCCGCCGCTGATAGAAGCCGCCGTCATTTTTGGGTGAACTATCCCTTGAAATCAAGTGGAACGGAGCGACAGTAACTTTTTCCCTCCCTGCTCAAACCTTCTGTACGCTCATGATCCAGTCCGGGATTTCCATTTCCTCATTAGTGAAAGAAACCCGCTCCGAGCGATGAACAGGGTTCGAGGAGGGACAACTGAAGGTTTTTGTGGTTCCATTATCGCTCTCTGGTGAGATAAACCCGCTCCCAACTGCAGGCAACAGTCACACACAACTTCGCTTCCATTCCTGTTTAAGTGTTACGTGATCTTTCCCGATCATTCTAATATGTGAATGTTTTCATAACAACATGAGCCGCTTAAAATTATTAAAGTTATCAACGTGTGGTAAGTGTAGCGAAATCCACTCTGTCCACATGTGATTGGTGGATGCACTCGTGGGCTGCCCTATCCGCAGCCAGTGGGAGGGTATATAGGCTGTTTGGCTCATAGACATAATAAATATTTATTTATTATATTGGTGAAGGCAACTCTCATATCGGGACAGGCGAAAACATTATGTAGTTTATATCATAAAGTAAATTGTGTTAAGAGCACAATATGTACAGTGAGCACTTTGACAAGACAATACCAGACTGTCAGGATTAGGGATGGCGCTAAATCATCTCTTTAATTTCACTAACGTTACTTATTTACAAAGAGTAAGTTTATCATCACTTGATTATAAGGATTTCATAGCTTATCATAAATCTGTGGACTTATTTTTTTTTTGTCCTTTTTAGCCAATTGCTAACAGGACAACGCAAGCCTTAAGGAAAGCTGAAGAACTTGTTTCTTACTTTGTCTTACTTTGTTTAATAATTATTACACAATACTATTATAAAGCTACATTTCATGATTATTTATTTTATTTTATAATTTACTATTCATTTATTCTTCATTATTGTCTATTCTGTATTATTCCACCCTTGATATTACATATTCTACTTGCTATTGAGTGTCTTGTTCATCATATTTATTTTCATATAAAAGCAACAGAACTGAAATTATATCATGTTTATTAGCAACACAGCATGTAAGTGTGAATAACGCGATATCTGCCTTTGATCTCGTTGGCACTTCGAGAGGTCAGAACTGTCCGTCTTGACTGCGCTTATTTCACTCCTCCCCTCACTGCAGCCGCCTACTCTCACCAACATTTCAGGCAAGGCGAGGCGCATCTCAAACAAGCCTATTATGTCTATGGTTTTGGCAGCAAACGAAAGTTACTGCGCATGCGTGCTTTTGTGGCCCTAACTTAACTTCCGGACCGGTAGACTTCCAAATAGAATCAATAACAACAGCGAAGTCCCTCTAGAGTAGATTGTTTTTTATAACAAGCAAAATATGTTTGCTGAGTAAATCAGACGGACTTATTGAAAATGCAAATTCATTCTCTGCCAGCAGGTGCTTAAAGCGGGAGAAACAGAGATTTCCCCGGTAACAGCTGTACACAAAGCAGTTCAGCTCACAAACGCAGCTTTATCAGGCATATAACATGTAAGATTAAATGAAAATGACATCGAAAATTTTCTAAAGACAGTCTTCCTTCAGAAATACAGTGATAAAAAAATAAGACCCCCGCGCCTCGTTTTGATTTTTAAACGTGCAGTACGTGCTCATGTTTATTCAACTAAGCCTTTTGGGAAATCTGTCAGCTTTGATATCATGGCGGGTCGCCATAAATAAATAAATGTATAGGAAACACATCACACAGGACAACAACCTGAGCCCAACTTCATTACTCATCACTTTAACTGCGTTTGTAGCCAGCGCCGCCAGACCCAGAAACAATCACAGACCAGAAGTTAACTTCCATCTTGCCATAATTTTGTCATGTGTTATCACGTGATCCTGGTGAGTTTTTTTTTTTTTTTATGAGAATCGAACCTGTTTAAACCCAATTAATGATGCCTCTTCTCTTTTTTCCAAAGGAGAATGCAGTAGCCTACTTAGATTAAATACATTTTAACTAAAGACACAGTTTTCTTAAAAGTAGAATTTTGCTGTTACGTTATCAAATTTAAATAGTCACATATCAGCTATGATTTTTAGTTTATATATTTTAAACATTATTCAATATCGTTCGCATATGTGGCAACCAATAAAACTGAACAAACTGTCAACAATGAAGAGGTTTCCTGCCTGTAGCGTCTGGCGCCCTACCCCCAGTAACCGCTAGAGGACACTGTTGTGAAGGATGTAAAGTAAATAGATAAGGCAGGGCTGATAATTCCTGAATTCATTGAAATACTCCTGAAAGTACTTGCAGACAGCAGTCTCTCCTTGTGAATTGTTAAACCTTATTTTTGTGTTTATTCATTTTTAACCATTGGTATTGCATGTAAAAGCCTGCCATATATTTCATAAGTTACAAAGACATTAATTTGTTCAGACAATAAGTTTGAATTCTTCCAGACAAGCTAATACTGGTTGGTGTGTCTCTTCTCAGGGGTTTTCATTGGGCCATTTCAAAAGACAGGACAGGGGTGGGAATGTTTGTCTTCTGTTTCACACACTGCTGAACATTCACAACTGCAGAGGGGTGAAGATTCCGTTTACAAGGTTGTCAAATCTTCAGGCCTACGATTTGAGCTCTCAATATCAGCAGAATGAAGATTGATATTCATAATCATATTTTACCAAAGGAATGGCCTGACCTGAAACAGGTAGGTTGCTTAAGGAGGGAAAGTTATCTTTAAATAACGTGCTATCATAGGTTAACCAAGATTACCTTGCTCATAACATATTTTTCAACAGTTTTTCATTATTTAACATTTCCTTGCTTCTTCAGACAGGCTTCTAAATTGCCCTGCTGTATTTTAATATATTTTGGTCAGCTGTACATCCGTTCTGTTTTCCCCCAGCATTTAATATACAGAAAATGTCTACATATTAAGAAAAATCTGCTTGTCCAATTTTAGATGATCAGATATTGATGTTAATTGCTAAACCAAAAATGGTCTTTTAAATGCTGAAAGTGTTAAACAAGACTACTACTACCGCTTTACTCTTAAAATGTATGCATCTGTTAAACATTAATGAAAGGGTTTGATCACTAACCCTGACCTTTATTGCTTGTTTATCTGAGCGAGCTGAGGACGACTCTATTAATCATTTCTCATGTCTTAACATGCAAATTAAATCAAAAAATATTTTACTTTTATTTAAGTATTTAAACTGTATTTATTTCTATCAAATGTATTTATTTGTCATAGTAAAATGTAAAATTGCATCTTAAAATTCTCTTCATGTTTCACAGAGATATGGATATGGTGGATTCATTCAACTGCACCATCACTGCAAAGTAAGTTTAACATTGCAAATATCTGCACTGGAACATGATAAATGTTCTTCTAATACAACCTTTACACACCTGATCATTGCTCATGGAGAAAATCAGCTCAGTCTGCAGTTTAGTGTGATGATGGTAGAAGAACACCAGCTGGAGGTAAAGGGTTCTGCATGCTTGGCCATAGATCCAGCTGGCATGATCTCTTGCAAGCTCTTCCAGAGAGAAAGTGTGAGTGTGTGAGAGTATGTTACGACCCCCATGAGGAATGAGTGGGCAGCAGAGACAGATCTGATCCTCCACTCAGAGCAGGAGGATGTTAAAACATCTGCCAGCTTCTTTATACCTGCAGGCCTTTAGAGTAATTGGATTGTTCTGTACTGCGCTTCAGCTGGTGTCTTGGGTGGTTTCTGGTCTACTCGGATGCTCAGTTTATTCTGTTCTTCGGTGCAGTCGGAAGAACTCTAAAACAGAAACACTGAATAAACATAAGAATAATGCACAGAACTGCTCATTAAAACATTTGATGTGAGTCACTGTAGCAGCCCAGTTTTTTGCAGTAATTCCTCTTCAGGCTCCACTGCTTTTCTTTTCAAACCAAATGAGCATGACTTCCTAGAAAGCACGTATTCTTGAGAATATGGGCAGGATAGGAGTGCTTTTGTGTGTGGAAAAAGAGGACAGCAGGCCTTCCCTGCACTCCCTGTCTGAGCAGCTGTAGAGCTCCACATGGGGTTTAGCTTCAGTAAAATGTCAGACTAAAACCAGTTCACCTTGAGCACAACGGCTGCTGCATATATAAACACACCCACACATAGAATTTGATAAATCTTACCATTTCGGCTGTGTCTTAAAAACATAATGTACCTTGTATTAAATTAACAACAATATAGACTGAATAACTGCAATAATGATAACTGTAGCAAACATTTACCACTCTGAAATGAAACTCATATTCTCTGCACTGCAGATGAACATTGACTGCTGATGTAAAATGCGCTTATCATGCTAAAAACTTTGCATCTCCTTCCAGACTAAAGTCCACTGCATTGAATTACTGTATGTATTTGACCTTTCTCCACACTGCCACCAAGTGGCTGAAAATACAAAGTGTCATGTGGCTATGTGGAAATCAGTGCATATAGGCACAGAAATGTCAGATTTGGCTCATTTTTCCCTTTTGAAAAAACAGCATGGGTTTGTGTGTACCAGGGAGAAGCTAAAATGATGAAGGATGGAAAATTGTTTAGAGTGATCCAGGAAAACTGCTGGGATGCAGAGGCTCGGATTCGAGATATGGACAAGCATGGTAAAGACACTAATGCAGTGGTTATTTCTCAATTAAATTTTTTTGTGTTTTTTTTAGGTGCTTTTTATCAAATAAATAAATACGTTTTATATCTAAAATACTTATCTACATTTACATTATCTTCAGACCAGTTCAACTTTAGTTCATTGTTATATTTATTACCGAGATTTGTTTTCATTTTTTTAGGAGTGACAGTACAGGCCCTTTCCACTGTGCCCGTGATGTTCAGCTACTGGGTAAGACGTAACATGAAAATTAACATGAGAATTTAAGTGACACACTCTGTCATGTCCTTTTAAAATACTAATATGTACCATTTAGGGGTAAATAAGATACACGTAAAAACTTTTTAGCTTTTGTACCTTACAGTGCCACCCCAGTGACAGCTTTCTTCCCTTTTAATACATTTCCCTATGTTAGATTATATATTAGATCATATTAGAGATTAAATTCCTCTATAGATAGACATTCATCACTTTTTCTGCTAAATTCTTTTTGATTGTTCTCTGCATTTCTAAAGGCCAAACCCCATGACACACTGGACTTGTGTGGGATACTGAATGATGATCTGGCTGCTACAGTGAAGCGATATCCAAAGCGTTTCGTTGGGCTGGGTACTCTGCCCATGCAGGCCCCTGATCTGGCAGTACAGGAGATGAGACGGTGTGTGAATCAGCTAGGATTCCCTGGAGTGCAAATTGGCTCTCATATAAACACATGGGACCTCAATGCCCCAGAGCTATATCCTGTCTATGCTGTAAGTCCATTTGCTTTTGGTAGCACATGCCACAGCACACTAAAGTATTTGGTCTCTTTTGTGATTATTTTGTCAAGTAGTCATTCAGTTTTGTCTCAGTTTGTAGGCCATTTTAAAACTAGAAATATTGTTATCAATATTTTGCCTCTTACTACAGGCCGCTGAGGAACTCGACTGCTCGATATTTGTGCATCCATGGGACATGAAGACAGATGATAGAATGGCAAAATACTGGCTGCCTTGGTTAGTTGGTGGGTTTGATTGAGTGTCTTGATGTAACGTTATATAGGTTTATAATATATATGTGTGTGTGTGTATATATAATAGCAGATTCTGATTAGTAAATTAAAAACAAAATCTGATTGCAATCTTTTTTTTATTATTTCGTTTTTTTCATGTTTTTAAATACATTTGTGGTTTTGTGGAAGACTAGTACTGTGCAGTATGTCGTCATTGTTTGGTCCCATGTTTTTTTCTGAAGGTATGCCAGCAGAAACTACAATGGCAATTTGTTCAATGATTTTTGGAGGTGTTTTCGAAAGATTTCCTAAACTTAAGGTCTGCTTTGCTCATGGAGGTAAAAAATATTCATATTATTTTTTAGATAATCAATTTATCAATTATTGGAGAGCAAAGTGATAACCTTGAGCTATAAAGTCAGGTTTTTTGCCATTGCTTGTCTTTTGATGTGTTATCACACTTTGGGTTCCAGGTGGTGCTTTCCCATACACCATCGGCCGAGTTGAGCATGGCTTTAAAGTGCGACCTGATCTTTGTGCAACCGACAACAAGATCAACCCACGCAAATACTTAGGATCTTTCTACACTGATTCTCTAGTGCATGACCCACTTTCACTGAAGTTACTCATGGATGTCATAGGAAAGGTAGTTATTTTAATTCTTACATCAACAGCAACACAAAATCTACCTGTAATATAAGAGGCACAATAATATTTAGTTAGCACCTTACATAAGGTGCTATCTAGATGAACTCTTAACTGATGAAATGGCAAAGATTTTCACATCCAGGACCTTTGTATTCTGGAAATAAAAACTGTGCAGCAATATACACCTCTGATTTTAGTTGCTGTTTTAGTTTTAGTTTGCTACTTTATTTTTAATAAAGGATTCTGTTTCTTGCAGGATAAAGTGATGTTAGGCACAGATTACCCATTTCCACTGGGGGAACTAGAGCCAGGCACATTAATTGAATCCATGGATGAGTTTGATAGTTCACTAAAGGTAAGATAAACAGCTATCTATCTGTCTGTCTGTCTGTCTATCTATCTGAACACACTAGGTTTCATTTCAAACATCAAATTGCAAATACATTGTACTTGTCATTTTACAGCTTATCTTCTTTGTACTCTTTTGTTTAGGATAAACTGCTTGCTGGGAATGCTCTGGAGTTTTTAGGACTGTCAAGAAGTTTTTTTTTTGAGTGACTGAGGATCAGTTGTACTAATGTGTATCAGAAGATTGATTATGTTACCAAAGAGCTGGATCATAAGAATTAAACCTTACTTAATGTGTTTTATTTTGTATTGATTTCTATTTTTACATTTTGTGTAAAAAAAAAAAAACAACAACAAAAAATTGTTAAATGGTTGAAAATGGTTAAATGAAAAGTGTATTAAATAAATTATTTTGAACCACAAAGAATAAGTAATATATACACCTAGATATAAAAGGATGATCCACCTTTAAAAGGAGTCTGATGTTTGCTTTAAATAATGAACTCAAAAGGATTGCAGTAAAACTTTTCTTTTAAGTTATTACTCCACCAGTTTTTGTACACATGTAAGTTCTGCTTTGCTCATGGTTTTTGAACACATGTAACATCCACATTCATATTTCATAACGAAATTAACGACAACACTATGAGCAAAAGTAAACTACAGTTCCCAGCAGAACCGCGTCGTGAGACGTACGTCAAGGACTTGACGCCGCGCGTACGTGACGTATGTGAAAACACGTGAAGCTCGTTCTCTGTTCGTCTGCTGGACGGTAATGGCGGCGTGCCGGGGATCATCGTCCAAATGGTTTTTTACCCGGGAACAGCTCGAAAACACCCCGTCTCGCCGCTGCGGAGTGGAGCCAGACAGAGAGCTGTCGTATCGACAGCAAGCCGCGAATCTTATTCAGGACATGGGCCAGAGACTAAATGTGTATCCTTCAGACGCGCTGATCAACAGCAGCAGGCCCGTTTCTGTCTCTCGCTGTGACTGTTTGTGTTGCCTTCACACCGATAATATCTATCATTTTTGTGTACCATGAATATCTGTAATAACTCTGAACTCGGCTGAAATTATTTGAGCTTGTCAATTAAACCCCCTTATAGTAGTAGCGCGCACTTAAGACTCGGGCAGGCGCTTGCTGATTAATGTTAATGTTGTACAAATTATTAACGTAAGATTTGTATATCTATATATCATCTAAATGTAACATAATAATGAGCTAGTTGTACCTTGAATTTACGTTGTTTATGTTCAAGCAGCTCAGGCGTGTGACAGCACGCAGCTCACGCGCATTTGTGATGTCAGGCACGCGAGCAGTCCGGTTACCGTAAATATTAAATCCGTTCTGCACTACTAAACCCTGTCAAGGTATGATTTATGTAAATATTTTGACGTTTGTTTAAAATATTAGTATTGGTATTTCTGGCAACTTGTATCAGTACGTAACGCGAATACGTAAATTATTCGTAATACGTACGTGTACGCATACGTAATACGTTCAGTCAGTAAATGGCTGAAGTTACGTAACCCTACGTTTTCCTTAACTCTAAACATCAGTTCTCAACTCACAATAAATACTGCCATTGTTTACTTGCACAGATTTTATATGTACCACTCTTTCACCAAATTCCACAGAAATGTAAGTGTTTCCATCCATACTGCCTGCATCTATTACATATACCCTTTTCAGCCATATGAATATTCATGAACCTGTGCTTCCGCTGGAGTGTAAGAATGGTCTTTCAGTGCAACTGTTAATGCGGTTTCCAAAGTGAAATAGATACAGTATAGAACTCTGTTAACCACAGCAATGAACCTGAGAACAAAATTAATTGGTTCTATGTGAATAAAAGCCTAAATGAAATCTGTTCATTTAAAGCGATTGTGTCTCTTCAGAAGACTAAACTGCACAAATCATATAGGCTAGTTTTTATAATCTTTTCATGAACTTTAAGAAATCTTTCAGGTTACATTAAAAGTATATTCATTTGTGTTTTAAAGATGAATGAAAGTCTTATGGGTTTGGAACAACATAAGAGTAAATGATGACAGAATTTTCATTTTGAGTGAAATAACTTTTTAAAGTAGGCTTGCATCTTTTGACATGACCGTGACATTTTTTCTTTCCTCTCCAGACCATCTCCCCAACGACATTATTTCTGGCTGCAAAAGTTGAAGAGCAACCACGGAAACTCGAACATGTCATTAAAGTAGCGCATGCGTGTTTAAACCCCCAGGAGCCTCCACTGGATACAAAGAGTAATGTAAGTCCTAAGTATTATTATTGTTTTTTTATTTTCTTCTTCAATTTCCTCAACCTTTTCATCACACTGGATAATTTCTGCTACACTTGCATCCATAGATTCTGTCGCTACAGAATCGGTCGTCTCACTAGTCAACTCCAAACAACCTGACTTTGATTAGGGTTTCAACTGTTTTTAAGAATCTTGTCCTCTTTTGTCACATGTCTGTCACATACACTGATTAAAAGTTTAGTTCACCCCAAAAAACTCACCCTCTTGTTCCAAACCCATAAGATTTTTGTACATGTTCAAAACACAAATGAAGATATTTTTTATGAAACATGACAGATTTTTTTTGCCTCTATTTCAAGTATTCACCCAAAACTTTGACACTTCAAAAAGTTGATAAAGAGATCATAAACAAATCCATATGAATCAAATTATTTCATCCAAGACTGACATGATCACATAAATATGAATAAATTTAAAGGGGTCATATGATGCTGCTAAAAAGAACATTATTTTGTGTATTTGGTGTAATGAAATGTGTTTATGCGGTTTAAAGTTAAAAAAACACATTATTTTCCACGGTGTGGCTGACTCTGAACTTTTATAAAGAATATCTCTTTGGATTTGAGACTTTAGTCTTTGCAACTTTACAGATCTTCTTTATGCACCAAGAGCTTGTAACACTCCAAAGAGAAAGGAAAAATTGAAATCGCATCATATGACCCCTTTAATTTCGACTGTTATGCAGATACCAACGTTAATTACTTAAAGCTTATCAAACATCGTTAAAGGGGTGGTTCATTTCGATTTCACTTTTTTTAACGTTAGTGTGTAATGTTGCTGTAGTTTAATGCCAACAAAAACGGCTCGTAGGGACTACAAGAAGTTACTGATGTAACAAACCCAGATAAACCCCGCCCTCGGGAAAAGGCAGCAAAGGGGGGCTGCTTTAGAGAAGAGGAAGAGAAAACTAGAGGTGCGTGTAAAAATCTATTCATATATGAATCGCGATTCTGTCTTACACAAGTTTCAAAATCAATGTTTTAAAGCAGCTGTTCTCAATACTGTTCCTCGCGTCCCCTGCTCTGCTCTGCATCTCTCTCTCTCTCTCTCTCTCTCTCTCTCTCTCTCTCTCTCATTGAGCTCAGCTCCAGCAATGAACTGTTACAATTATACACTTATTTTCACATAGCTATGAGAAGCGTTCAAAATGGACGCGCGTGCAGTTGCCGTACTGTATTAAAGCTTTAATCAGGATAAAACCGTATATTAAAAGCTAACATAAGCAGTAGCATTTACAAATAACAGCGTATCTAAAAGTATGAGACAACAACAAACAAAAAACATACCATTAAGAGCTGTGTGCTTGCACAGGTTCTGCGCGATCCTCTTCAATAATATCCTCTGCTTCTCAATCGGGCTCAAACTGATAAGCGAAATTAACGACGCCGTTGTGTACAATGCAACCGGAGCACATGCCTCTGAGGTGAGGGGCGGGACGTTTAGACGCGCACTAGAGGCGGTTTAGCCAATCGCAACACTTTTCAGAGAAGGGACAGAGCGGTGTGGAATAAAGGTAAATTATGTGAAAAATAATGTGTTTTTTAACAAACGAAGCATTAACACATGTTAGACTGCACCCCATAAACACAATCAAGCCTAGAAAAAAAACACTGAACCACCCCTTTAAAGGAAGCTCAAACATGCTTGCTTGACACCAATGAGGTTTGATCTTGTGTGTCATGCAAGTTCCACTGACCATATTTGAAAGTTTTGAATGAATGAACTTTCAATGGAGGGACAGAGATCCATTTCCAGAAATCCAGAAATATCTAAATTTGTTTTGAAGATAAACTAATCTCTTAAGGCTTTGGAACAACATGCGGGTGAGTAAATGATGAATTTTTGAGCAAACTATTCCTTTAAGAATGACAGAGGGGAGACAGATTAAACAAATGCCTCTGTTATTTCTTTCCCGTTCATGTGAATCTCACAGAACCTGTGACTCCCTTCGATTCTCAATCAACAACGTAAATGAGGCTTACAAGTGAAAATGGACTAGTGAGACACTGACATTAGACATCCAGCATGTCAGTGCTGGGACAGAAATCTCTCTTGAATGAGAAATATTGTCTTGAAAAAGACCAATAGAAAATGTGTGGCAAACAATTAACGTTGCCCGTAATTGGAAGAGTGCAGAGAATTCAGTTAATTGGTTGAAGATACAGAAAGACACATTACAAGCCTCATGTAATGATTGTCTATTGAACTTCAGGCATACCTCCAGCAAGCTCAAGAGCTGGTGATACTTGAAACCATAGTGCTGCAGACTTTAGGTAAGTCTATGGAAGGAGGTTTCTTTCAACTGAATATTAGAGTGGACATAGAAGACTTGCTGACAGTGGGTCACTTTTGGAAAAAAACAAAAAGTAAAAAAACATTTCCACTGTTTTTATCCACTGTTCCACTGTGAGTATTTGCCTGAAAAAAGTTGTATCATCATGACTAAATTCTCCAGAATAATGATTTTGAATGTTGTTGCAAAGAAACCAAATTGATTTTCAGTTAATCTGGGATGTTATTTTGCAGCATGATACATGGGTATCATCTCAAAAATTCCACATTGTTTTAAAAACTTTGGTCTAACTAATGCATGATTATCTTTCATGATCCACAGGTGTTGATAGCAGTGTGATTCAGCTTTGAATGAAATTCATGTGCTTTATATTGCAGGCTTTGAAATAACAATTGAACATCCACACACTGATGTAGTGAAATGTTCCCAGCTAGTGCGAGGTATAGACTTTCCTTCATATGCTCTCTGCGATCAACTTTAGATATAAAACAGTGCTTACTTAATCTTTGAATCAAACTATTGGCTTTTGAACTATGGCTAAGCATGCAGTTCATGGAGAGGTAAACCTCACTGTATTGAGGTTAAATGGGTCTCATTCTTACTCGCGTGTATAGTTTGACTCACTTTCATTCTTTTGCCATTCTCTCTCCCTCTCTGTTTACTTTCACAGCAAGCAAGGATCTGGCACAGACTTCCTATTTCATGGCTACCAACAGGTTGTTATCCAGAACCTCATTTGTTGCACTGTGACTGCACACTATAGCTTCCTTTACTGCAGGTTACCCTACCAGTGTCCAACACCCTCCTTGCACCGGTGGCTACTGGGACGCCCCCCCCCTCTCAAACATGCCCTCAGAGCAGGGTGGGGAGGGGGTTCGGTGGCACCGGCCCCGGTTGCAGTGCGGTGTATTGTACGGGGGATCATTGTTGGCACAGAGGGGTTGAATGCACAATGTGAAGTGTAGTGGTGCTCTTGAACCTCACGTTTGCTCGGGTTACAGAAGTGCATTTGTCTAAAAAAGACACTTTGGTAGCCTGAATAGCAGCTAAAGATTACACAGATGTAAACATTACATAGAAGTCCTCACGGTAAGTACCCAGACCCCTTTGTTTTTTCCTATGATTTTGTTATTCTCAAAGTGATAATTGAACCTTTGTTTTGGTCTTTCGTATTCAGACTATTTAGAAGTACATTTTTTATTTATTTTAATTTATTTTTGTCATTCAATGCCTGAATTGATTTTGAGATACAGACATCTGTTGTGCTTCCATTGTGATATACCTGTTTTAATGCAATTGAACCCATTAAGGACCTGTTTGGTTTTCTATTTTAATTGAAATAGCCGTTTCATTGGCTATGTATTTTTATACCCATTATAATCTTTAAAAATTGTTGGTATCAGGTGTGTAACAAAAGGTCCTTAAAGGGTGTAGTGGTCATTGTAATTTAATCAAATAGAAGATTTTTTTTTGTTTGTTTTTTTTTTGTGTGTTTGTCCCTCATTGTGTAGTTATTGTCTTCATTGTTTTTAAATCAGGTTAGCTGTCATTAGTGTTTGCCCCCTTTTTTGCATAGGGATACTGCAGCATTGTATACAATGTCTGAACATGGGACTAGAGCGGCATATGCTCAACACATGGTCTGCATATAATATGGCCATCAGGGTTTTTTTTGGCATTTGTTTTGCCCTCAAACAAGAGCATGTTACCCAAAGGATGTGGACTGTATAGGTTTTGAAACACACTTAATGGAACTTAACTGATAAATTAACCCGTTTTGTATGGCCAATGTGTCCGATGCTGGATGGACCTCATAATTTTTATTCCCTTGTGTGTTTATCCTTGCATTTATTTATTTTTATTATTCTTTTAAATTTAAGTAGAGGCTGTTTTTTTAGATCTTGATCACCTATAGCTAATGCAGTTAATGAGTGTTGCCGTTCTCATTTGTTTGTCTTTGTTGCATTAGGATTTAAAGGCTCCTCTTACCCCATGTCCAAACATTGATTCTGTTCTGTAGCACAGGGTTACCATCCAGCTTTGAGGTTTCATTTTATTGTTATTTGTCTCAAATGTCAGTACAACACTACTTTGTTCAATGTAAGATTGTTAAAAGATTGTTAGCATTTTTCTTCAGGGACTATTGATGTAGTTCAGATGCATTTCCTTTTTTCCCCTAGCAGAACAAGTAACTACCTTCCACATACAGGTGCATCTCAATAAATTAGAATGTCGTGGAAAAGGAAACCTTTGCAGGTGTTTTGAGTTGATTAGCTGATTGGCATGTCACCATATTCTAATTTGTTGAGAAAGTGAATTGGTGGGTTTTTGTTAAATGTGAGCCAAAATCATTACAATTAAAAGAACCAAAGACTTAAACTACTTCAGTCTGTGTGCATTGAATTTATTTAATACACGAGTTTCACAATTTGAGTTGAATTACTGAAATAAATGAACTTTTCCACGACATTCTAATTTATTGAGATGCACCTGTACTTCAAAATACTAACATTGTTTTTTTAGAGATGTAGACAAGTTTACAGAGATTAAAGAATAAGCACTTGATGAGGCCAAACAGTCAGCCCTGCTTTGTTTTTATTATGTGGGGTTGCAATTCTTATGTGGTAAATATGGATGGTAACCATATGCTTGTTTGCTTTATTGTTCCCTATGATTCTGTTGACTGCAGGCTTTTATGCCTGTTATTGAATGTACAGTAATATGTCAATAGTATCAAATTTATCCTTGATTATGAGTAACAAACCTATTATTTTTTGCTTGCACAGATTGAATTCCACAAAGTAAAACTTTTTATAGAATCTTTTTTAGACTTTCCACTGCTATTCTAAATTTAAAATATAGGGATAATACAATTGATCAGCTGCTGATCAGAATTGGCTGATTGCACTCCGACATTAGGCCTTATAGACCATTTCCTCTTATGCCAATCTGTGTATCTTTACATGGATAACTTGTTTAGTAATCCTGCTTTTTAAGTTTAAAAGAAAATCTTGATCTGTGCTTCCCTTCTCTTGTTGGCTTTTGCCCTTCAGTTTGTACCCATTGTAAACTACTGAGCACAAAACATGACTTTTTTGTAATGTCTAAATTGTAAAATGTTAATAAATTGCATGGTGCTAAATCAAGTAGTTTCTGAACTGTGCAGGTAAATTTTTGAAGCATGTTACTCACAACTGGGGAATATCTTAGTGGCTTCAATGCTTTCATAATAGTATTCTCTAGATGTTTAACACTGCCTTCTAGGGATGTAACGATTCACTCAACTCACGATTCGATTCACGATTTTGATTTCACGATTCAATTTTCTCACATTTTTTTTTAACAAAATGAGATTAAAGACATTGTACAGTAAATGAAAAGGTGTCATTTTATTAGGCTATTGCTGCACGTTTCTTTGTGAAATTGAAATATAACAAAACTAAATTGAAATTTTAAAACAAAGCCCAAATCAAACAAGTTACACAAATAAAAGAAATATCTTAATATGAACAAACTAAGGCTTTGTTTGTGCTCTTTCCATTTAAAATTAGAAGCAACCACTGGATTTTAATCATGATCCAAACAAAGATGCAGCTTGAGTAGTTTTTAATCTAAAGTAGACTCTATAATTTAGAAATTTGAGGCAAAAACAGAATGGTCTGACTTTAGTTTTGTGAAACTATACTACATAAAACATATCTGAACGAAACGGCAGACGAGCTGAATGAGATGCAGATTCACTCTCTGACAGCAGGAGGCACTTATGAACAGCAGTGATACAGTGTTTCCTGGGTTACCGCTGTAAACAAAGCAGAGCTGTGCTTTAGTGATGGGAAGTTTGGATCATTTTACCGACTTGGACCTTTGAGTCTCGTTCAGCAAAATGAACGAATCTTTTTGGAGTCATTTCGTTAATTTTAGCAAAATATAATTAAAATGTTACATGTTACTTCCCTAACACGTCTACTATTTGTGCAAATGTTGATCACACTACAAACTAGGGCTGTGCGATATTGAAGAAAAATGCGATATGTGATACCTTGTTAAAAAATGCGATATTCGATATTCGATACGATATTGCTTAAAGTGTGTAAAATCAATTTCAATTATATTTTAAAATATTTAAAAATGAAAATTATATAACCAATTTGTTTCACATTCTTTCTTGGAAAAGAAAGAATCACTACAACTTCTGAAAGTGACCAGCAGTGTTTTAGCATTACATAAAAAGTAATGTCACAAATCAGAAAATGTAATTTTAACATCAGTGTGAACATACAAAAAAAAAAATTAATGACACTAATTTTATATCATTGTAACTTTGCTTTCCATACACTTTAAGTACTTCTTCATATACCACAGCAGAAACTATAGTCTGAGAAAGTTCAAACATGA